CATTAAAAGGGGTGCCACATTATTGGGTATCGCCGGACGCACAGGCGCAAAACGGGTTCCCGCCTCGGCATGCGTGTGCTCGAAGAGCTCACAGGAGACGGCGTCGGCAATACATGACAGAGAGCAAAACGACCAGAACATACGGAGCCGCACAAACAGCTGGTTCAGAGGCGCGCGGCTGACGTGCACGCGTGCGCAGGGCCTAGGGCCACTGGCTTGGGGCATGGGGGCCGGGGCTTGAGGCTGGGGCCCCCATGGGCATGAGAGCATCCAACACGCCCCCTCGAAGGTCCGCGGATTGCTGCTGCTTAACTAGCTGCCTATTCTGACCCCAACTGCAAATGCTCCATAAACTTGCCTTGAACCAATTTTTTTTGAAATCTCAATCCCTAAATCTCTGATTCCTTAAATCCTAACCCCTAATCCCTAAATCCCTGCGCTTTTATAGCTCGCCGCCTTATGGAGTCGCAGAGGCCTCAACAGGTACGTAGCTGGGGATTCTACCAAGCTGGCCCCTGGGCTGAGGTGCCAGCAGCCTGGCGACCGGCTCCCACGACGGCTCCGCCTTCATTTGGGGCGTGGACACGGGGCGACAGGCCAGCTCCGAGGTATAATTGGAATAATGGAAAAGAACATGGGAACCATTATTTAGGGTGTAGCCTGTCTGGGCCGAGTATCAAAACCTTACCGGACCTCACACCCAATAGCCATTCCTGCGGAAGACGGTCCACAAAAATCGGCCATGTTAGAGGGAGATTGTCAGGAATCACTGCGAAGCCTACAATTACACATTGCAAAGTCCTACCCTGCAAGCTCTCACATCATAAGTTTTCAACCGTCCATGTACCAGACCACTGCATGCTGCAGATTCTCATTATTATTACTATTACTATCACTATCACTATCACTATCACTATTACTATTACTATTACTATTATTATTACTATGATAACTACTATTACTCTTACTGTAATATTGCTATTACTATTCCTATCATTACCATCATCATAATTACTGTTATTTTTAGTTATATTACTGTTATCATCTTACCTACACGGCCCAGTGTGCCCTCACGAGGTCGCCACCTGCAGCACTCCTGGCAGAGCTCGGGTCCCCAATGTTTGGAGTGGAGGCAGAGAGGTGCTAAGAGGTTCGTAGTTCTACACGGAATTATAGCCCCCCTCAAGTAAATAGGGTACATGGGGATCTTTTTAGAATCTACCAAAGCCATATTCTGTCTGATGAAAAGAGATTATATATGAACTCCTGAGAATGAGATTACAACCAGTCATAGCTGTAGGTGTCATCCTCATTGCTCTTTTTTCGCACCAGTAAAGTTACCCGTGAACCTCCAAGTATGGGGGGTATGGTCATGAATTATCTTTCCGTTGCTGTACCCGCAGACGGCACATCCTTAGCTCCTCTTCCCTCTCCTCCTACGGCACAAGTTTTGAGTTTTGCATGAAAGGTAGGTCTGGGCATACATTAGGTGGACCCCCCCACCCAGTAATAGTGACTATCAGGGATAATTGTAATTATATTAGGGTCCTCTTCTAGTCCTATTATACCACTATTACAGGGTGGGGGATCCTCCTAAGGCATACATCATTTGCAGCACCTGAGGTGTATACCCTCGCCTGGAGGCTGGTCGACGCCACTTCGGTGTGTCCGTAGAGGTAAACATGCAAGAACATTGCCGGAGGGTCCATGTACCCAATAAGGAGGTACTTGGGTCTTGGGTAGTTTTGGGCAAGTATATGATCATCAAGTACGGACCCTTAGGGATTGCTGACGGCTCTAGAAGGATGCATGAAGTTTGACCGCGCATTGCACTTGACTCAGTGTGCTGTGGGCCATACTATGCTATTGCTTCTCGTCGCAATGGCACCATGTCAGTTTCAAATACATCTCGAATGCAGAGCAGACCTGGAGAGGAACGATTCACAGCGCCCCAGACTAGCGACTGGATCGAGTGACGGCAGCATATGCATCTTTGATGCCAGCCTGGGCGTATGCCCCCTGGCTGGTTAGCATAATTCCCTGTCTGTCTTTGGGATCGTTCTGCTATGCCTTTGATGACGTGCCATACAATTTGTTCAAGGGCGGTAAGTAGCCTATTGACGCACCCAACATTGGAGACTGACGGCCATATTCCCATATATCCTGATGTTATATCCCTATATGAACAATTATTTTCATTTCCTTTTTGAATTTGATTCCCCATTGTTTGGACACTGTGCTTTAGAGGTTCCAGCTGCGCAGACCATGTCCAGGTCCTAAACCTTAAACCCTTTGGTCTTGAAGAGAAGAGCATGGCGTGATGCATGAATTCCTCGCCTTCACGTTATCTCTTACAAATAGGGCCCCTAGAATAAGTTGGGTTAGAAGTGGGCCATAAAGGAGGTAAGTCTGCCTATCAATCCCAGAAGTGCAGTACTGGGAGTTGTACCTCCACTTCTGTGCCTATGGGCTGCTGTTACCATGCAAATCCATGGAATTCGTACGCGTATGTGGAAGGTAGTCTGCCCAGTACTGTGTAAAACCTGTTAACTTTCAGTGGGCATAATGTGTTCGGCTCGTTTGTAAACTCCTTGTCAGCTTGCAACAAGCAGTTTGGGACCATGGCAAGCGCATCTGCCTTTGTTGTTGTACGACCTGACCCCAGTCGCCATTAATCTTTTTTCCAGCGCATTCCCCATTATGGTAGCTGCACCTTTAAACCTGAGTGCTTTGGTGGGGGTGGAAATATTGTAGCCTTAAACCCAAATCACAATACATATTGAGGTATGGCCAGATTTCAGGGCCACTTTGGAGCCGTGCCTCTTGGCTGCCACTAGATTCTCAAGGGCCAAGCTGGTCTGTCCAAGGGACGCGCACATGCGGCAAGGGCATAGTGGGAGAAGATGGGATGCGTGGGCAGGTTGGGGCTGAGGTTTCCTGCAAGGTGCGGCTGGAGAAATGATGTGTGGGGCGCTACAGGGAGTCTTTGTGGCGCGCACAAGGGGGATGGCCTAGCAAACGCTCCAAAAGAATTCTGCGCAGGGCTTTGCGGGGGCATACTGTGCGTTTAGGCTCGGAGCTTAGGATCGTGAAGCAGAAGCCCATTTGTCGAAGAACAGACCCTGCCAAGCCTGACGACAGCAAGCAAGCTGCAGGGGGTCCTGACATTCTCATCTCTCCAGCCAACATGCCCCAGATGCTGTGGTTGTAAGCTAGTTATAACTTGAGTGAACTTGAGTGTTTTCGTACATATAATAGTCTCCTACATTGGGGGATGGCAATATGAACCTTGGCTTCCTCTTGAAAGATCTTAGTTATTTTTTAAACCCTAAACCCTAGACCCTAAACCCTAAACCCTAAACCCTTCTTTTTTCGTTCTTCCTAGCAGGCTGTCCCTCGCGTGGAGCGCGGTGCCGGATGAGACCCTTTGCTTGGCCTCGTGCGGCGAGGACTCCGGAATCTGCTTGGGCTTCATTCAGGGTTTAGGGTTTAGGGTTTGGGGTTTAGGATTCAGGGTTTCACATATATGTATACCTGCCCCAAAAGCAGGTTTAGGGTTGGGGTTATATTGGGGTAATGGAAAAGAAAATGGAAACTACTATAATGGGTTTAGGGTTTAGGTTGATAGGGTTTCTGTATAGCCTTATAAGGTCTTAATGGAGAATCAAATAGAAAATGCACTTGATGCTTGGATGATCTAGGGGCTTTATTGTGATAAACATCCCCACCCCCTAGAAATGACAAATAAATATTCCCAGCATGGTACTTGTAAATTAAAGGGGAGTATTCATCGTGGGGGGTTGGGGGTTTGTAACCGATTAGATGGGGGAGCGGATTTCATGTAGCTATGTCCTTGATACGGACATGGCGTTAAGGAGCAACTAAAATTTCCTTCATCCCTAAAACCCCCAAGGATCCCAAAGGCACGAGACTCCCATACAGCACCTATAGGGAGTTGATACCAGAAAATGTCCAGGTTTGTGACCAAGGGTTTTGGGGAAGTCTGCAGAAACAACAAGAGCCACTTTGCTGCGAAATTTGTGGTGCAGGGTTCGGGGTGTAAAGGCCGTTTCGCTTCTGCTACTGGTTGGCCCGGGGGTTGCCGCTGACAAGCCTTATATTAGGTTCATATTAGGTTTATATTTGGTTTATATTGGGGTTATATTAGGGTTATATTTATTGTTGGGGAAGGGTGCTAACCCTGGCTGCTGTACGGTCGAAGATGTAGAAGTTTGAGGGCAAGGCAGCTCTGCGACATCTGAAGACCCCATGTGTCCCCGTGCAGATGGCTAAACCCTCAGCATCTTTCTGGATTACCCCTAAACTGCAACCCTAATCCCTAAACCCTAAACCGGGGGTTTCCCACAACTAGCGTACCTTTTTGGGGGTCCCTAAAACATGAAAGACCCTTAGCCGTGCAACATTGCAATATCAAGTAGGTCAAGTGGGTCCAATCACCTGACGGTTATCATCCCAAGCCCCAGGTTCTGTCCTATGATTGGCAATGGTTCCAACAGCAAGGGTCTCCCTCACCCAGATGGACTCTAAAAAAGAATCGCCTCGCTTGTCTTTCTTTGGAATACATGCCCATGTGTACACCCAGGAGTCTTGAGGATCCCACACTTGGGATTTACGATTTTGGCACAAAGAATGTTTGGCACGCCAGTCCAAAAACCCTCAAACTCGCACTGGAATTTCATGGTTTGCCCACTTGGGCAGGACGGCACTGTGCGAGTCTGGGAGGCGTACCTGGTTGGCTGGAAGTGTGTGCTGCTCATAGACACTAGAAGCCTGGGCGGCATGTGCATGAGCTTGACGTTACGACCTCACCTATGAGCCAAGATATGTTACATGCTGGGACCAGCATGCTTTCAGGCACGGGCAGCGCAATGTTTAGCCGTCCACATCGGCCACGCTGGTAGTGCGCCCCAGCGGCATGAACACGTGTTATTGCCTCAGCTCGCTGTTCGTGCCGCTAGCTGAAGTCCTGTAACGTCAGTGAATTCGCCAGTACAGTCCCCCTTTGTGTCTCTACAGGGACCCGAAGTGTGGTTTCAGAGAGATCCCAAGCGTGAGTGACACCAAGTGTGAGTCATGCTACCTGTTTGGTTTTCTGAGTACAGTTCGCATCAAATACTAGACTTCATCGGCTGTCCAGCGCTCCAGAAGTCTGTGCTCAACTGAGGTGATCAGCGTTCGTTGGTCGCCACAGGAGAAGCGACTCGCGTCCGCATACAACAGGGCTTCGCACCTACCGGCCTGAACGAAGCGCAGCGTTTCCTTAACGCTCAGATCCCATAGGGCCTGAACAAGTTGACCAACAGTTTTTCTTGTTAGCATTGCTATGAGCATCAGCATTATCATTATTTCGAACACTGTTTTTTTTGCATTTTGTTCGAGCTTTTCAGAAGTCGCAGTTGTGTGCTGGTGAGGGCTTATTCGATGCCAATCCATCGTGACATCCCCCTAAGCCACTCACCCCAAGCACCCCGCCCAGCACATCCGCCGTCTAATTCAGAACCTCACCCTCTAATTCCAAATGTGCTCCTGCATAGACCCGAGGAATTGCTTCCGCATCAGAAGATGGCTTGGCAAAGATCTGGGACATCCCATAGTCTTCTGAAGCTGAGGGCTGTCCTTCCCTGTTCACTCACATCCAAGTCCATGGACACTCCCCCCCAAGTGGCTCTACATCCCACCCTCCCCAACCCTGGTGATTTCAACTGGTCAATTCATAGCGTTTAAGAGCAGACGTCCAGCCTAGCTTCGCCTGTCGGTCAATGTCTTGGCAGCGCCGCAAAAAAGGGAGCCCTCCCAGCTTCGACCAGCCATTTCTCAGAAAGGGTTGCTGCTATGTGCTCTTGTATGTAGAAATGTTGTTCTGCTGTGTTATGTAGGTTGCCTTAGCGCTTCCATAAGTTACCTTACTCCAACGTCTCTCAAACGTCCTTCAGGGCCGGTCTTCTGCAGGAGCGCCTGCAACCGGAAGCTTTGGCAAAATAATTCAGACACTGCTTGGGGCCAAAATCCGAATTTCGCTTCTCAAATTTCTGTGCACCTTTGTTAAGCTTGCTACATCAATGTTTGCCGCGATTGTGGCTCAATCTCCGCAGCGTGCCGAAGCCTGGGCACACGAGGTACCGCAACAGAAGAGCCACGGGGTTCTGGCGGCCGATCCCATCAAGCCTTGTTTGTCTGACTCTATTGACTGCACTACGCAGCATACGTAGAAGTGTAGTGAAGTGTACCCTGCCTCGTATGTGCGGACCTCATGATGCAGCCAGCTACGAAAACTGTTAGGGTGCAAAGCACGGTGTTCTGGGGCTAAGCAGTGGTAATTTGTAGGAATGGATTACTGGCTGATAGTAGAACTCGAGCTCATGAGGCCTCTGGTCTCAGCTTCAGGTTGAGTTTATCAGTAGACAGACAAGTCTGCACCGCTAGTACTGCAGTCACCGCATGGAAGATTCAGCACGGCATGTGATACTGCATGTGTCCCAGATTGTCATATGCAAGTTAGAGGAAAGCTGTAGCTTCACGCCCTTACAAAGCACATGGCCCTTCCTTGCCTTCCCATCTATCTCTGCTATGCCCACTATATCCCCAATATAACCCCTATGTAATCCCAGTTTCCATTTCATTTTCCATTTTCTTTTCCATTTGATTCTCCATTATTGGGGTAATATTGGGTACCATAGCATCCGCAAATTACCTTAAACCCCTAAACCCTAAACCCCTTAACCCTTAAACCCTAAACCCTAGACCCTAAGGGTACCATAGTATCCCCAAATAAAATACTCCAAGCATCCTGCAAGTCCCAGCTCCAACGCAGGGCGTACCCTCCGGAAGCGATGGGGGAGGCGGGATGATGACCAAGTACAGGATTTCATTTTTTTACAATTTGTGTTTAAATGCTTCAAAACGAGATGGGGAATTAGAGAAATATTTGTTATTTAGTATGGTTCATTTTATGGATGTGAAATATGAATATGAAAATATTATGGATAATATTTGGATTCATCTCGACATGGACGCATGAGACATGGGAGCTTCCCCGGCGCAGCATCTTGGGGGTCCCAGTAATAAGGACCATTCATCCAACAGCCTGCTATTCTGCCTTTGGGTGGAGGTGGGGGGGTTTGGATTTGGTGCATTTGGAAAAACCTAATCCGTGTCTAAACCCTACACAACCCCCAAACCCTAAATCCTTAACCTTACGCCCTACACCCTCAAACCATAAACCCCAACACCCTAAATTCCTAAACTCCTACACCCAACACTCTCAACCCTAAATCCTAAACCCCTAGACCCCAAATCCCCAAAACCCTAAACCCCCAAATCGCTCAAAGACAGGCCACCAGCGATAAGAAGCTGCACGTTGCCCGGGTAGCAACCAACCTGGCTTCAGAGCTCGCGGGCGATGCGAAGGCACCTGATGCGTACATTGAAGCGCTTAGGGAAGAGGGCAATGATACATGTATGTATATATATATATACACATGTACATACACACAAATATACCTGCATACATATATATGGTTCTGCGTTCTGCGTTCCCAGCCATGGTATCACCCCCCACCCCGCCCCCAATGGTATGCTTCAAAAATGCCAACAGTCACAGGGATGGGGCC